GCTCACTCGCGTCTGTCCACAGGGTTCTGGGTGGCCATAGAACATACACTGAGCTTCAGTTAACCTCTAACTTCTGTATGGGAATCCTGCAAGAAACTATTCATTACAACTACCCACACATACCACACCCTGCTTCTTTACAGACACCTATCCATTAACAAAAATAACAATAAAAAAGCCCCCTAGGGAAATACACTTCTGAGAACCTGTTTTGCTAACATGTTGTCACTGTGAGACATACATAATTAACAAAAGCAACTTTTTTTACTATTATATATTCTGTCAGAGGCAAAATCTTATTTATGAAAGTAGGTATTTAGAAAAACAGACATTAATTGTGTAGTTGATGATTGCAAGCTAATGCCTTTTCCTAGGCAGCTGTCGGTCTGTACCCTGGCAATCTCTTTTATAGCTGTCTCACATTGCTTTTGGAACAGTAAGTATCATTAGCAGAAAGAGAGATGGAAGTCTTACTACAGCTGCTGTGTGTCTGACTTTTTTCCTTTTTTTTTTTTTTTTAAGATGCAACACAGTCTCTTAAAGCTTCCAGCTACTGACCTAGGTCAGTCATCAGTAGAAAAGAGAAAAAAGCGAAGCAATGTATTTTTCAAACTCCAAATGTAAGTAAAATTTGGGTCTTCCCTGTGATTTTTACTTTGAATTGGCATACCATGCTTGTGCTTCCATGTTAGTAATTACTAAAACTGTAGATTGTTCTTCAACTCCTTTTGGTCGTTTTTATTGGGTTGTTTTTTTTATTGTCTGTTTGTTTTTCTGTTTCACAGTATGAGAATTGAACATTATTGTACTGAAATGAGATTGCTGGATTATATAATGTTGCCAGTGTTGTCATGCAGAGGAACTGGAAAGTCCCAAAGCCAGTGCTTACAAAAGAGAGTTCAATTATGTTCTTAACTGAAGACACAGACTCAAAAAATGACTGTAGGTTTCGTTAGGCAGGAAATAGTCACGGAGATTTGAACTTTAAATTGAAATTAGCTGAACTTTCAGTCTGACTGGAAAGATTCTCCAAGGAAAACCCCTCTTTCTCTCAGTTGCCATTTCACATTACCGCCTGCAAACTCATTCATATGATGAGCTGCTCTGCCGTCCCTTGGGCGGGGGCAGCTCCAACAGCCGCGGCAAGGGAGGAAAATCACAGCCAGCTGCTACTGATATTACTGCTGATGCACAGTGGGGAGGCTTGTGATTGAGCAGGGAGGAAACAGATAAACAGTCAGGACTGGCACAATCCTCTCTGCCACCACTATTAGCAGCACCCATAATGGTCACTGATAATTACAGTGTCTGATAGCTTTGAAATTATTATTATCTCTCTGGGAGTGAGAGACAACTGTGTGTTAACAGCTGATGGACTTCTGGTCTAGTCTGGAAAATGACTAGCAGCTACACCAAGCTGGCTTCATGCCTACAATGATCGATAACCCATCGAGAATGGTCCAAACCACCAGGTATATCACAAAGAAACCCTGACAGGTAAAGGCAAAGAGCAAAATAAACTGCGGATGTGAGTTTTACGTGGTAGCAACCTGGAAGTTTGAACTTCTCTAGTTTAAGAATTCAGTTTAATGCTGAAAAATTAATTCTGATAAGCATGCTCTCAGATACCAGCTGATGCTAAATATGATGTGTTTGGAACACCATTAATTGTTCCAGTACAATGTAGTATTGTTTTCAAAGTAGGCAAGATTACTGTGGTGGATCATGTTTGTTTCAGGATTATCCTCTCTGTGAAGTTATATTTCACAGGCAACTATGTACATTTAGCCTTGGCCCTGGAAAAAGCAGGAGAGTTTTACTGAACTCCTTCCCTTGCTCTCTCACATAGCATTCTCTTGGGAAAGAAAAAAAGACCAAAACCAAACAATGATTTACAAATAACAGAATACATGTCATATCGTCTTCTATTTCTCAGCTGTATTTTCAAACATTTATCCCTTCGTTCTGGAACAGAAATATGAGGCAAGAAGACCAGAAAGCAGATAGAGAAGCCTTTTTACAGCATCTTTGGAATTCCAAAAAACTTTTAAATTCTTGGACTGATTAATTCTCTTAAAAGCTCTACACTGTTTTTTCTCTGCTTTGCTACAGCGCATTTTACTACCAGTCAACTACATTCAGAACTAAAATTATCACATCTTTTCAACAAGTATTTTAGCAGTAATGAGCTCATGGTGTTTATCTGTCTATCATCATCTCATCCTGCTTGCACATTCTTGATACAGTAGAACCTCATGCATGTATAGGTGACAAATGAATAACTGCAATATTCATACTGTCTTCAACTCAGGCCTATAAAAGTCATGGGAACTGTTCTGAAAAGAAAGATACGCCATGTAAGGATGAACATTTTGTTTAACCTTGGCTAGAGCTACTAGTGGTTTTAAAAGCATTTACTTTGAAAAGTTCTTCCTCAATTGCATGATGCTATCTGTCCTCATTAAGGCCTTTCTCTGACTTCCTGTTTTCAAGGTAATGGCTCTTCATTGTGGTGAAGAACACCAGTAACTAAAGAATCATCAAACATTTCTCCAAAGACTGCAAGACAATCCTCTGCCATGGTTTGTTGGCTCTATATGTGAGGGTATTTCAAGGAGAGCCATATAACCCTTCCACTAAACAATGATGGAAAGTTCAAGTGAATGCTAATAAAGTCTAGTTACTTTGTAGCTTTGGGAAAATAGCCAAGACACACACTGTAAGGACTGAGTGAAAATAAACTAGCACAAAGAGCTTCTTCAAACTGCTTTATTTAAAAATTTGCAGGATAGATACACAAACCAAGAGGCAGGCAAGTCTCCTCCTTTGTGACTGACTGACAGCTATAGCAGCCCTACCTCAGAGCCTTACCTTGTGATGGGACTCTGGACAACCTCACCAGCGCTAACAGTTAAGTTCCTCCCTCCCAATGGTAGACTCATTCTCCCTCTTTCCATTTCATCTCTACTACTACTTCCATTCCAGTTTCTTCCAGTTTGGTGGTCAAAATTCTAGGATTTGCTTTATGTTAATCAAGGAACATTTTGGGAGAAACATTTTTACAAACACGTAGCGCTCCCTGGAGAAAATCAGCCTCAGAAACATTCACCAAGATGTCAGCATCTGTATCCTCCTGGATTCAGACTTCTTAGACAACAAAAGTCACGCCAACACCAAGACTGCACCTGGCTCATATGTCGGTGACAGTATGGTCACAACAGCACAGAACTCAGGATGAATAAGTTTTTCAGCTTTCTCTGTATCTGATTTTTCCTTCTGTAATCATGTTAGCAGTAATACCAGGTCCTCTTTAATTTCATTAAATTCTGTACTAAAAGAATCAAAATTCCAATTCAGGAGTTTCCCAACAGCAGTAACCATTAGTCTGTGATACACAGTAAAATCACTGGCTTAAAAAAGAAAACACCACCATCAACTGCTGTTTTGAAGTCCTTACTGACTACAAAGTCATGCCGGAATGTAGTTCATACCAACTAAAATATATTGTAGCTATAGTCTAATACTTTACTGAGCCATTAAAGAAACATATGCCCCACAGGGGTTTATGTTTTGCTTGACATACTTTTTCTAACTATGCTGAAGACTAGATTATGGGACTTTCTGTTATGCCTCTCTGTAAAAGTGCATTACTCCCAGAGTCAGTGCAGACCCTGATTCCTTAGGACACTCCAGGCAGCACGTAAATTAAAAATCTGTTGAGCAGTTGGTAAACAAATAATTAAAATACTTATAGAGTGCACAGACTTGGACCAAGCCAAGGTTTTAAACACATCTCTGACATACTTTATTTGTCTACAGTAGTCCTGTCCTTGCTCTTAAGGCTTTGTCCATATACCTGATCTTACCAAGAACATTTTGGTACAACAGACACACACTTTTAGAGTGAAAAGCAATGAGGGTGCTTCAGCTATCACAGATGCACTGGGAACTTGTTCACTCTGACACACCCATTCACAGCTCGCCAGTGCTGCAACCATTATAGAAGTATCCACTGCTGCTCAAACAAATCAGATATATATTTACCATACACACATATAGCCCTTGGGTGACAATGGACATGAAAAATGTATTTTGTTAAACTCCTGGAATTGATGAGTAGAAAAATAATGTAGAAGTGCAATTGTTATCCCTAACCACAAAATGCCTTGAGGCACTTACAGTCACAGTGAGAGTCTGTTAGAAGTATGGTCATTTCCCTAAAACATGGTTGAGCCTTCACTATGTGAGATTTCAAAAGCCTTTTGTCCTTTTGGACATAGAATTTTTATTTTTTTCTCTGTATTAACATTTCATTTTTAAATGCAAATATTTGAAGCAGATAACCAAGCTACAGTAAGTTAAACAACTGAATTTTGTGGTCACTTCTAACCCCCTATGTTCCAAAATCTCATCAGTCAGCTCAAAAGAAACCTTAGAAAGTCAGAAACAAGCATGTTTGGCATAAAAGCTCGTCACATTTCAGTCACAGATCGCTGCAGTTTTGCTTCTGTTCAGCTGTGTCCAAATTCAGTACGTCTGAGCGGTTGGTTCAGCTCTTGTAAACTCAAGAATGCAGTTGTTGTGTGCTGGGGGGGCGGGGGGTGTTCACCCCCATTTTGCCCTTCCCCACCTTTTCTCCATAATCTGAAATGGAGCTGGGAGAGCAAACTAAGTTATGTTAACAGCAGTCACATTGTCGAAATGAGCTTTACCAGAGCCATTCCAAATTCTCTAAGGTAGTTCTGTTCTTAAACTTCACTTTAATGATCTACAATTTACTTTTTACAGATCTGGAATTGCCCTTTACAAGCAATACACAGCTTTCTGTGATTGTACAGACCAGCACAACCGAGAGTACAGTTCTAAAGCATCTCTGATAACACTCAAAAATAATAAAACTATGTAGATGCAGGAAAGCTGTTAGCTATCTAGTAGAAAAGCATTGCTGTCTGAAGCATAAACTTAACAATCATAAGTGTTTTCATTCATAAAAAACTTACGTGTTTCTGCTAGACAAAGCTTCAACAAACATAATCCAAAAGTTGCCCATAAGGAGAAGTTGGCCATTGTTTTCTTGGAACTGTTTTGCAAAATCCAAAGATCCTTGCAAGCTGCAGGAAGAAGAAAAGCCCCGGCGCTTGTTAAGCCCGCAGTCAATGAGTCTGAAGTTTGCTGCACTTTTTATTCTGATTCAAAGGAACTGAAGTAATGACATAACTGGGAGGGGGAGCTCCATCAAAAGTCACACCCATATTGCAACAAAAGTTACCCAGCAGTAGGAGAAGGCGGGGAGAGGGGGGGATGTGGGAGGGGAACCAGTACTGACTAAGCAGCCACACTTGAGTTTTAAAGAGGCACTAAACCTCTTCTTCTCACACAAATTATACTTATTGTATAAGTCAAAAATTATACTTATTGTAGTGCTTGCAGGAAAAATTGTGTAATCTCTCCTGAGTTAGCTCAAAAATGCACTGTTTTTTATGAGCTTTCCCTCCTTCATTTAAAATCTCTTCATTATTGCAAAAAAAGCATTAGAGATTCTGAATTCCAGCAAAGCATCTATAATAGCCTAGACCTTTCCCAAAAATATTTTGCCTATTTAGTCCCACCTCACCATTTTCTTTTTTTTTTTTTAAGGTCAATTTAGACCAAGTAAAATGCCTGCTTTACAATGAAGCTTTCTGCAATATTTTTGCTCATTGCCAGAGGATAAATTCATGCAGGAGGTAAGTTAAGGCAGTTCAGTCTCCCACAGCACGTCCCACAGGCTTCTCTTCACAGGCTGCTCCAGCAAGAGTAGTAAATCATGCCAGTGCCAGCAGTGATACTGAGGATTAAGGTTGATATTTTATTGTTCTGATGGGATGAGGCACAGAAGGAATTATTCCTTGTATTCCCAATTCGCAAAGCAGAGAAACAGGATGAAAATGTATGACATCTTTGATGTTCAGACAAGGTCTCAGTTCCTGAGGGACAGATGTTCATTGTAGTGTGGGGTTTCGCATGACTCTAGATGCCACATGAAGTCTCTCGTGAAAACTCCAAGGCCTCTGCAGATAAGCAAAAGTGGTGTCTCCTTGTGTGCCTTAGAGATTTCCAGTGGTGTTTCCATGCACTGGCCCCTCCTCAGAGGTGCAGAACTGCAACAGTGGTTTGTGTGCCGTGGAATGAGGGGTTCGTCAGGGATCACCAAAGCCAGCACATCTCACCTTTAACAACCAACATGTGGCAATGACTGACAGCCAGTAACACTCTGATTTCTGTTTCACTTGCCAAACTTGGAATGAATACTCCTATATCAGATTAACATTTTGTCAATCTTCCCACTTGAAAGAATTTTCTCATTAATTTTTAATCTCTGTGAACACAAACAATGGAAAAATACAGATAGGTCTTTCCAGCCCCAGGCATAAGAAGTTCACATAAAGAAGTTTTCAGGACTTTGCCTTTTCTTTGACTTTTGACTTAGAGATGGCTGGCTATCCTTTCCTCAACCAGCCAAATTTTTACAACAGGTTCCAACAGGCTTTTCCTACAGTTCTAGAATATCTGACAGGACAAAGTTAAAGTGAAAAATCTTTCCTTAAAACACAGAGAAATCTTTTCATTAAGAAGCTAGCAACTTTGAAATTACAGACAAAAACCATTTTCTTTAGTTAATATACTACTCTTTCTTTTGAAAGAAATGGCTTCAAAAGCAATTAAAAAGCAATCTCCTATATACCTTACTGTTTATATTAGTGGAAAGAGAAATATTTCTATGAATTCCTGTACATTTATATCTATAAATGTTTTGGTGTGAAAATACATGAATGAAGTTTAGTGGGACTTCAAATGCTGGTGCACAGTTAATAAATGGATGAAACAGAAGAACTGAATATTTAATTAAAATTTACATAATTTTGAGTCTTATTTTTGATGAACGTAAATTACCTCTCTGTTAATGTCCTGTATTCATAATTATAGAGAATTAAAAAAAATGAAACATAGTCAGTACTTCTGCACGTGTTTGGTAGACGTGGGTGGCATTCCACTTTGGAAAGACTCTGTCTTATTTGTTGCTCTATAAAACTGGGCTACGATTAGACACATTTAGATAAGGTGCATGGAGGTGCTTAGTACCCAATGCAAAAGGAAAAGACAGATGTATACGAGTAAAATAATTGATCATGGTATGTCATTTCATGCAATAAATCACAAAAATAGTAATGAGCTGTATCTATATAACGTAAGTTTTTCCATTTCACATTCCATCTGCCTGCTTAGACATCAACCTAAGACACATATTTGCATTCCAATAAAAAAGTGAGACAAAAATACTTCCTTCTTTCCCACCCAAACGTGGTCAACAGATGTTGGACTGAGGTAGACAGCAGACCAAATTTAGCCTGGCTTCAGGGCCTAATGCTACCAAGAAAATTTAGTCAAAGGAGATGTACCACTCTGGAAAAAGTGGTTTGGGGGTTTTTGATTGTTTGTTTGTTTGTTTGGCTTGGTTTGGTTTGGGGGATTTCTTTTGAGAAATACATAACTTTTCTTTTAGTTTGGGATAATCTTAATACATAGGAACAGAAAAATCTAAAGCAAATCTGCAGCTGAAGAAACGCAGTAGAGCATCATTTTAAGTGAGCCTATTAATATAGTTAGAGCTTTAGGAACTTGCTTACTCCCTTAGCAACAAGCAGCTAAAATAGTGTCACCAAAAATTTGTAAAATAATTAATGGTACCAAATGAATTAAGTTTTCAGAAGAGAATGAAACACTAAAACTAAAAAGGATAATCCCCCAGCATTGTAAAAAGTGTTTTTCTGTGATGCCTTTGACACACTGAATATTGAATCTATGATGGCACAATATAGTACAGCAACACCAAAATAACTCATTTGTGATTTTATCACATATGTAAGCTGTAGTCAGCACTAATTAATTTTGATTAAAATCTTATTAGGGAGTACATGTGTTGCAGCCCTAGAAAAGGAACATGCATGGCTTATAGTGATATAAAAAGACATTTTTGTGAGAATTCCCATAGAGAAGGAAAGTTTGACCTGGCTGAACTGAAAGACCAAAATTCCACTGAACTCAGTGGGGCAGCCTCTCCCTGTAACATATATCTGAATTTTATTATGTGGACAGACAAGACAATGAATGTATCTGAGTGAATCTGTAGTTATGATGGAAAAAAAGGTACCAATGGAGATTGATTTCACTATCAAATGGGAACAATTGAAAGAAGGCTAGAATGGAATTCTGTTTCTGTGAACATAGCTGGCATTTCTCTTATGAAAACCAGAAATTTATGAAAAAGGAAGCTCATAATTTGAAATATTTTTTCTATTATTAGTAGAAATACTTTTTTTTCAATTAAAAAACAATTTTCTGAATGTATTTTGGTAGATATTTCAAGCCTGTTATGGGGATTTGAAGAACATAGTCTTGGTGAATATAAAAAGCAGAGATCTCATTAGGTAATTCTGGTCGTGGCCGTGTATATTTTGCATAGACTACAGGTGATCTGTAAGACTGGCTGAAAATCAGATTTGGGGGAGCAGGGAGGATTTTATACCCACTTATCTGTAATATCAATAAAATATGTTATTTTTAATAAGATTTCCTCCTTGTACCTAGACTGCAATCTCGTTTCCTGCATTTCAGACTGGATTCAATTTCAGACTAGATTTAATTTTCATTATCAATCCTGAAAACAGGTTTTGTAATGGAAACAGTTGTAAACGCTTCAGTGTGGTAAACCTTGTACTGCACACTTTTCTTGGGCTCTGAGAGCTGATGGGAAGGTATAAGAAGAGCCTGTGCCGGTTTAAGCAAGAAAAGCTGCTCTTTTGGCTGGAGGGCAAAGCACTCCTTTGGGAAGTTGAGAGCCCGGTTCTACTCCCATCAACCTTTTGTTCCTAGATGTAATTTACAGCCTGTGTCCTGCAGAGAGTTAGGAAGATGAACAATGGTTCCTACTTGTTTACTTCTAAAAAAGGCAGCAACCCAGATTGGCACCTACCGTGTGGATTCATCAGCCTGTTTTACTGGTTTGCCCCAGATCCCTAAACAACTCACTAATCCAACACAGGCAAAAATTAACAGCCCAAATCACTCAAGTAGGCCCTAAGAAACACTTTGCAGCAAGGTTTCTTCTGTGGCAGACCTTGTGGCCCCATCAGCTTTCTTGCTCCTAGCACCACCCCAATGCACATAGTCCCGGGCTGACCCACATCTCCCAGCAGTGCACAGGCAACAAATCACAGTGCCAGTCCCCACTGGCAACTTTAATACCACTATACCCAGTTAGTTACTAGGTTGTTGTTGGAGACCGAGCAGGAAACCTGCACACAGCAGCTGCCACCAGCTGTCCAAGCGTGCAGCAGAGACATACAGAATGCATTAGTGACATTTGAGTCATAAGCAGCTGTGTAGAGAGCTGGGGGTGGGGGGAATACAGAGGAAACTGAGGGGAGAAGGGAAGACGTTCTTCATAGGTGGCTTCTGTCTGTCTCCACCCCTCCTTCCCCCTGGTAGGCCTTCCCAGCACACACCATGCAATAAGACCCTGGAACTGATACATCTGACCGTGAGCTGCCATCTTTGTGCTAGGCATTCTCTATTCCCACTTTCATTTCTTTTGTTTGCAATTACACAATAGGTAAATCAAGCTTATCCTAAGCCATCTCTGGGATATACTATTTCTCTCCTCCCTCACTATCCTTCCCATTGTCTTTCCATTTTTTTCCTTTTGATTTTGCTTCTTGATGTCTACTTTGACTTCTCTCTCCAGTCATTTCTCCTTTTTCTTAGCCCTCATCCTTTCTCATCCACTCTCCCTTCTATGCAGCATATTGGAATTATTAAATAAAACACTTAAAGTCCCAGAAGAGCAGGTGAGCTTTTCAAAATACAAACATTCATGCAACTCAGGAAACACTTCCTATTTGCATAACCAAACAGTTAACTGTAACCTACAGATAAATACTTAGGGGCTCTTATGCCTAATATGGACCTTCCCGGAGCTATTCAAAGTCAAAGGAGGTTTTCTACTGATTTTGAGGAATTTTGAATCAAGCCAACTGTGAACAGGGTTTGGTTGAGTCCCAGCATCTATATTATGATAACTCTGCATACTGTGTTACATGTTTCCCCTGTATATATATAATCTGAGGATAGAGGGATTACATCAGATTTATAGGCACTGATAAAATATTTTCCTTTCTAAAGAAAGTAAACCCCAAATTTTAGTTGGAACA